TAGCTTTCTCAGTAAATAATCTCTGAACATGGATCTTAGCGGTGGAAATAAAAGCAGACAAATGGTCTCTGTAAACCCTGCTGAGCTGCACATTACAGGGTGGGGGAAGGGCTGGCTGCTGTCAAAGCAGTAAACGAAATACAAATTGAATGAGCATGTGAACGAAGATGAGAAAATTAAAATTCATTGAAGGATGAGCAAATTGAGTGAAAGAATACTAAGAACAGTTTTTGCACTACTGAAACAAAGATGCTGATATACTAAGTGGTTCTTAAAGCAATTTTGCACTATAAATTGTACTATTTTCATTTTTTAATTCTAGTCTGCGATGCAGGCTGAAGGTGAATGGAAGATGTTAAACCTGGGCTGCAGAGATTGAGCAAATGGAAAGAGAAATAGTAAAGGCAAATAATTTGTTTAATTTGCGCTTAACTATATTTTGATGCAGTCATAGTTGAGGTTTTGATTGACCAGAAGGTAACTTCTTTGAATGGAAAGACTGAGTGTCAATCATCTGTTTTGCATCAGTTTTTCTGTATAGTTTTGTCAGGGTCTTGGCTTTATCCTGTGTTCAATGGAACTTGGAGAAATAGCTGCTGTGATGTTAGAAATTTCTGTCTGTATTTGTATTCCTTATAGAGAATAAAGAAAAGGAATGTTTCCTACAAGGGAATTGTAAAAATACTAAATAATATGAGGGGGATAGTACAAGTATTTTCCGCTTACAATGTAAATCTGCAAACATTGTGTGATAAACTTACTACTTCTCACAATTCCATCAAAAGATGGAATTAAATAGATCTGAAATGTGCAAGGAAATTGCCTGCAATGTGAAAAAACTTGTCTGATTTTTTTTTCCTGGTCAGTGTCATTTAATTAAGTGTGTAGCTTTCTCAGTAAATAATCTCTGAACATGGATGACATCTTAATCTGGGATTGACACTATAGCAATACCTTCCTTCTTAAAAGGGGAATAAAGACTGTAGGAGTTGAGGTTCATTTTGGATTGTCTCATATATGCTTATAGAAATCATGCAGAAAGGCTTCAGGCAGGCAGAGTTGTATCAGGTGTGCTCCTCACTGCTGTTTTGCTTTAGTTACTGCATAAAAAGACACATTGTGACTCTACGGACAAAAGACCTGGAATCGAGTTGTAAGGGGTGCATGATCTGGCTTTCTCAGAGTGGAAGCCTACATTCTGATGCACCAGTTACATCAAATGATGAATCAGAAGTGACAGCATGCAGTTCAGCATCATTCACAACCCTCTGAAATTGATTTGGAGTTTGCAGTTCTGCTTTAAAGTGAATTAACATTCTTTTTTTTTTTTCCCCCACCATTTTTAACCATATTTCAGTGAATGGTGAAATAAGTATCAAAGGTGGAGAAATAGAAAAATAAAATATTCCAAGTGGGAAGGGACCCATGAGAATCATTAAGTCCAACTCCTGGCTTTATGCAGGACCACCCAAAATTTAACCCAATGTCTGAGAGCATTGTCTAAATACTCACTCCCTGAACTCTGGTAGGTTCAGTGTGTGGGCACTCTGTGCCCACTGCCCTCCAGTGCAGAACCTGTCCTTAACCCCCAGCTGCCCCTCCCCTGACAGCCATTCATGCCGTTCCCCTGAGCTCTGTCACTGTCACAGAGAGCAGAGCTCAGCGCTGCCCCTCTTCTCCTTGTGAGGAGCTGCAGCTGCCAAGAGGCCTCCCCTCAGCTCCTGGGCTCTGGGCTGAACACATCCAGAGATCTCAGTTACTCCTCAAACATCTTGCCCTTCATACCCTTCATTGTGCATCATACAGCCCTCCTCTTGATGCTGCCTTAATAGTTTTGCATCCTTACATTGTGGCACTCAAACCTGTACCCAGAGCTCAACGTGAGGCTACACAGAGCAGAGTGGGACAACTTGCTCAGCTGATAGTTCAGAGCCTGATGACCCCAGAATACAGCTGGCCCTTTTGGCTGCATGGGAGCACTGCTGGTTCATACTTAGCACAGCACCAACAAAAACCCTCAGATGCCTCTCTGCAAGGCTGCCTTCCGGCCATTTGTCCCCCATCCTATACATCCATCCAGGATGACACCTCCTGGATACAGAATCTGGCTGGTATGTGTATTCCATTCCAAAACATTATTTTGGGGCAGTAGATCCCAAATTTGAATGGAATAAGGGCTGTAAAAAAGGGGGGAGAAAGTCCCTTGGGGAAAAAAGAAAAAAAAAAAAAAAAATGTAGAGCTTGAATTTTCATTTTTTTTTTTAATAAAAATTTTCAAGCAGATGTAGTTGCATGCTACTCCCGCAGCTCTCTAGCAGAGTCAGAAGCAATACCGGTGCACAGCACTGGAGCCGCTCTCGATGTATATATCCCGAGGAAGCCATGAGCCCTGGAAGGCATCAAGTGAAGCAGCAATGGAGCCTCCTAGCCAGGCAGCAATATGGCGGCTGGGGGCAGCAGCAGGGTGCTCGCTGCCCAGATCCTGAGCCACACGTTGAGCAAAGCCACACAGCAGTGTGGTGCCTCCAGCCAGCAGCAGTGGGGGGTTACCAGGTTGGGCTCCACTGAGGTGCAGGGAGCGGGCCGCCATCTCTAGTAGCCCTGGGCCTGGGACTCCAAGGACCTTAGGGGTGAAGAGGGCCTCAGCACAGCGGGAGTACTCATCTTGAAGGAGGGGCCCCATGGGCTCAGAGTGGGCACCGGGTGGGTGGCAACAGCAGCGTGTCTCCTTCAGGTGCTGGAGGGTCTCTGCTGGCAGTCGCAGTCCGCGGGCTGCCAGCATCTGGCCCAGGTAGAATGTGAGATCATTCCCAGCCAAGTCCAGTCGGAAGGAGGCATGGGGCAGCACGTAGCCGTCCTGTACTGCCACTGCATAAGATGTGCCGGCACCAGAGCCCAGAACCACACCGGTGGTACAGCCATAGGAATAGGCAACAAGCACAGAGCGGGGCATCACAAGCATGGCTGGCACACCAAAGCCCTCGAAGAGGAGCTCGGCCACCTTCTCACGGTTGACGATAGGGGACAGCGGGGCATCGGTGGCCAGCACAGCCAGCTCCTCAGGGCACACAGCCAAATCGTGGTAGAATATGCGATGCCACAGCTCTTCCAACCCGTCCCAGTCAGTGACCACACCGTGAGTGAGAATGGAGCCATCCTTGACCTGGCTGGGCACCACTGATCGTGGCCTCTCATCCCCGGCCAGCCCGCTCTTGGTGTGGCCCATCCCTGTGTCAATGACAACAGCACAAAGATCCTTGTACCTTGCTGCTAAACCAGACATCATCACACGTCTGGGGCTGGCTCACTGCAGGGTGGACTGTGAGTTGCCAGAGTGCTTGCCTGCATCACAGCTGGAGGGAGGTGACATCACTGATGGCAGAGAATAGAGAAGGGCAAGAAGGAAGACACTGATAATTACAGGCCTTTCAATCAGTGCCTGGTAAAATTATGGAGAAAATGATGATGGGAGCTACTGAAAAACACCTGAAGGAAAATGTGGTCATTGGTCGTAGTCAGCATGGGTTCGTGAGGGGGAGAGTCCTCTTTAAGTAACTTAACTTCCTTTTATGACAAGGTCACCCAACTAATTGACCAAGGGAATTCAGTTGATGTTATCTTATAGAATTCAGTAAAGCTTTCAGTACTGTTTCTCAATATCCTTCTAGACAAAATGTCCAGTATATGGCTAGACAAAAACATAATGCAGTGAGTGAACAACTGTTTGATGGGTCAAGCCCAAGGATTATAGTAAATAGGATAACATCAGGTTGGCAGCTAGTCACTAACAGGGAACCCCAGGGTTCCATTCTCTTTGGTGCTTTCTTGAACTGGATGTAGGACTAGAAGGTGTTTTGAGCAAGTATGCTGATGATACTAATCTGGGAGGAATTGTTGACTCTGTCAAGGGTGGAGAGGCCTTACGGAGAGATCCAGACACATAAGAAAGCTGGACAGTCTCCAACTGCATGAAGTTTAACAACAAAAAGTGCTGGATTTTGCACCTTGGGAGGGGCAACCCTGGCTGTACATACAGACTGGGAAATGAGATGACTGCTGTGGAGCAGCCCTACTGAAGGAGATTTAGGGGTCTTCATCAATAGCAAACTGAACGTGAGTCAACAGTGTGCCTAGGCAGCAAGCAAGGCAAACTGTACCCTAGAGTGCATCAGGTCCAGCACTGTGAGCCAGACAAGGAAGGAACTGTCCTGCTCTATGCTGCACTGATGCAGCCTAATCTTGAGTACTGTCTGCAGTTTTTGGCACCACAATGCAAAAATGACATAAAACTATCAAGAGAGTGCAGAAAGGAAGACTGCAGAGAGACTGCAGATTAAGGATCTGGAAGGGAACACACATGAGGAGCAGCTGAGATCCCTTTGTTTGTTCAGCCTTGGGAGTAGAAGACTGAAGGGATTCTTCATCATGGCCTGTGGCTTCCTTATGAGAGGAAGTGGGAAGACAGGTGCTAATTTCTTCTTTCTGATGACCAGTGATGGAGCCTAGGGGGATGGAATGGAGCTGCAACAGTGTAAGATCACATTCTGTGCTGGGTAGCTGTGTATGCAAAATATAAATCATAGCTCGAGTCCAATAAAACTAGAAAGGCCAGAGCATCTTGTTGTCCTGTCTTTAACTGTCAATCTCAAACTCTCAATCTCAAATCTCAATCATCAAACAATGAAGAATTATACAGTAAAGGTACAGCATGGAAATACAGGCTTAAAGTCCCTGGGTGTGTAGCCCTCACTACCAGCAGCAGCAGCAGTGAGAGAGGACTTTATATGAGAATTCCAGCTATGATACATGCTAAAGTATGTACTATACTCTACCTGATCATTGTTTAAGCATATATCTCAAAGGATGGGAGTTGAGGTGAAGGTACAGACTCTTTGGTGGTGAGCAGCAACAGAATGGGAGGCAATGGGCACTAACTGGAACAGAGGAAGTTGCATACTAACACGAAGAGTAACTTCTTTACTGTTTGGAACAGGCTGCCTAGAGATGTTGTGGAGCCTCCTCAGGAGATATTCAAGACCCACCTGAATGCCTGCTTGTCTGACTGCCACAGGGAACCTGCTTTAGCAGAGGTTTGGACTCAATGATTTCTTTTTTTTTTTTCTCCATTTCTCTCAGGTAGAACTGTGAACATTTTCAGACTGATTTCAAGTCCTCCTACAGTACTATTAGACTTTATGAAAGTTTTAGCTGAATTGGTACAGCTGTATTCAGAGTTAAATCTTCACTGTTATGGGAAAACAAGTAGCAGAAAATAAAGAACGTAAGACTGAACCTCTCCTACCACTCCTCACAGTCTACACCTGTTAAAATTATGATAGCACCTACTTTTGTGGAGCTGATAGCCATCAAGACCTCTGCCTGCTTAGCCTTGCGAAGAGCTACAATAGACATGTGTGACATAAAGATTTTACTTGACTACTGGTGAAGTGAATACTGTTGAACAAAAATAACTGTTTTCTTTAGATTCCAGCATTAAGCAGTTTATCTCTGTTCACTATCGCTGAGCTTGTATAAAATGTAATTTTTTCATGCTTAGTCTCCCTTCATGCCTGAAACACCTTTGGAAAGAAAGGAATTCATGGTCTCATAAAAGCTGTAGTTGGAATAACTGTCAGAAGTCAAATCATAAATCACTGTTAGCAGGAAAGCATACTTGATGCAAATGAATTACATGGGCAGAGGGCTGAAATAAGCCAATTGAAGTTATTAACAGAAGCCTCCATAAATAGAAGTTGTTGGAAATAAACACTGACAAAATAAAACTTAAATAGATTATTAAGAAATGAAATACATAATTCTGATGAATTATACATGATTTTTTTTCTCTTCCTTACTTACCTCCTTTCCCCACCATCAAGCACCTCAGTAAGCCCTACATTGTGTGGTGGACATGCCTTAAATTCCCAGCAGGCCTCTTTACAGAAGGACAAAGGAGTTGCGCCACTGAATGTTGTGTCCCTGTGTTTTTGGTGTCTATTTTAGTAGTGGAACTAGGTTTGTACCCTTGACCTTCCCTTCAGTGTCTCAGATGAGTTGTGTGTCCATAAAGGACATCATTAGTTGGTATGGAGCTGTGTTAGCAAGAAACAGGAAAAAAACAAGTTTCAGGATTTGTCTGCTCCTTTTAAGTGGTGGTTTTCAGTTTTTTATTGGGCTTCTAAAAAACTATCTGGCTTTCTGTCATGGTTTTATGATGTTTGGTTATCAGTATTCCACATCATAACATCATGTAGTGCACTGGGAATTGAAGAGTTAATGCTCCAAGTCTGGATACCTGTCCCGGAAGAGAATAACTACTGCATGCCCCAGAGGACTGCTTGCTGTTCTGTTATCATTTCTGCTCAGGGGGAAAAGATGAAACGCCTTCGTAGGTCACCTGATGGCTCTTTTGGTCATCTGGCTTGTCTCTGTTGTGGGTGCCATCTCGTCCGTCACAGCATTAGAGTAAGGTCTTTGGTTTTCAGACACTCTCTCATAATGTTTGATTTATTAGCTTCAATTCTGATTATACTGTATTATATTGTATTATAGTGTGTTATCTTGAATTCGAATATGTTGTTTAGTAAATTAGTTTGTTTCTCCTCAGATCATTGCCAGGCCAAACCAGCCTGTAAACAGTTGACATTCTTGTTGGAGAATGCCTTGACACTTTCCTAGCCCCTTTTTATAAAACTCCTAATGCAGATCAACATTCTTTTTTATTTTAAAAATTAGCCACATTAAAAAGTACCTATTTATTTAACCAAATGTTATCAACTACTGTTACAGCATTGTGGTATAAAACAGCACTGAAACTCATTCTTTACTTGTGTAGAAATCTTTGTGTAGAAAGCTTTGTGTGGAAAAGACTGCCAGTGCTTTAGCAGAAAAACAGGAGCAGGAAGATCAGTAGAGGATGACTCTTGTGAAGGAAGTTCAGGAAGGAAAGCAAAAGAAAAGTAACAAGTGAGTCAAGTGAGACTGAGAGGGACAAGAATCTCTTCTTAGCATCAGTGCCCTCTTCTAATCATCAGCACTCCTCAAAACCTTCGTATGTTTCATGTCTCAAAACAATCTTCAAATAGGTAGCCAAAATACATATACCCTAAATAAAAACATTCATTTTCAAGATGTATCAAAAATGAGCCTCCTCTCACACCATTAGGCTGAGCAGCACGGGCACCAAGCTGCGCTGACCCCCTTCAGAGCAGGGTTGCATCTACCCCTCCTGCCACACTGAGGTCACAGAACCCTGGTGAGTAATACCTGGCACTTGCAAGAACAATTTTCCCTCCCTTGCGGCAAAGACACTTTGCAAAATGTCCGTCAGAGAGCTTGGGAAGCATCGCCATTTTCATTTTGCAGCTGGAGGAACAGATGCAGAAATAACGTCTGAGAAGTTGGTGGCAGGGCTCAGAAGCTAGTTCAGTGAAGCCTAGGTCTCAGGACTTTGAGCTAAGCAATACTTTGTTCTGAAGATGTCTCAGTATTCACATTTGCCTTTTTGTATAACAGGTATTTAATTTCAACTACATGAAAAGAGAAACAGTGTAGAACGCGAGCAAGTCAATTATATAAATAAGGCTGATTTCTTCAATAAAATAGAAGGCATTTATTGCTGAGAGAAATAGAATACTGAGTAAGCTGGGAGCGTGAATACTATTAATTCTGACTTCTGCAAACAGATCTTGTTAGATTGGCAACTGACACAAGCAACCTTCTGCTGCATTTCCAGATATGGGTTTTGTCTGTTCAGGACTGTCTTCCATGCGTTCATGTTTTAAATTATATGATTTCCTGAAAATAAAAATAGCTTTGTTAAACTTAGACATTCAACAAACTATGTCAGATTGCTCAAGGCAGGAGAAGTATTTCTTTGCATAATAAAACTTCCTGAATACTGAACAGTTTAAGAGTTAAAACTTATATGCTGTCCTGAGATTCCTCTTGTGTTCACCAGTTTTGCTCTGGATAAAATGGATGCTGCTGCTTACCCCATTTACTTTTTTTCTCACACTGAAATTTGCAACCACAGTAAAAACCTAAGTCCTACATCCGAATTCTTCTATCAGACTGAGATGTTGAACAACTTGGAGGAGTATCAGTATTTAATGTTTTCTTATGCGTGCACAGCTGGCCAGCAGTCCATGTCATGAACTTTGTGAACAGCCTCACTGAAGGTAATCAAGATGCTTCCATACAGTGGGATATAAAGAAACAGTCTGCTTCACTAGTGAGTAGACTGCCATTTTTGGAGAATTCCACAGACTGGGTGAAGCTGCAGGCCTGAACTGTCAAGTCCTGTGGGCAGGGGCTAGCTGAGAGACCACCTGCATGCACTTTGCAAACAGTAGGAGGTGGAGGTGGGCAGCACGTGGGAAAGCACCTGGCAGAGGCTAGCAGCTGGGAGTAGCTCTGCACTTACAAATGTGCCAAATTAAGGAAATGAGACAACAACCACGTGGAGGAGTTTGATATGGATGCGTCTAAGACATGATCACAATAAAATATCACATTAAGGCCCTACTTAATGTCACATTTTCAGGGGGGAAAAAAAGAAAGATAAATCCTACAGAACTGCCCAAGGTGTAGGCATTAGCAACTTCCTATACCATCTTCCTGAGGGTATTTTAGGCCTGAATCACTGACAAAGGAGTGCAAGTTGTCCGACAGGCACTGTATGCCTCTCAGCTAATGAGTGCATCTGGCTTTTAATCCCTTCATGGTACTAAGACATTCTTCACATCATCAAAGAATGTTGTTCTGTTTAGTCCAGACAGAAGCATGTGACAAGGAGATTCTCACTTGCTGGAATAGCGCACTGAAGAAGGGTCCCCTTCCTTTGTGCTGTCACTTAACCGTGTCAGTAGCTTTCCTCTGCTCACTGCTGCAGTGTTGCAGTAGGTTTGTAACTGTTGGTGGTTGCTGACCTGACAGCAAAATAAGAGACAGCTGGAAAAGACGTGGAGGAAGGAACAGCAGCAAAGTTTTCTGCTGCACTTTGCTACTCGCCTGAGGAGAAATTCTGAAGCTACACACACATTTTCTTCAGTATTTATTTTCTCTTGAGAAGTAGAAGCATGAAATGAGAGAAAGTCATCTTGCAGTATCAACAGCCTTGCAGTACTATCGTCTTGGGGCCATATCAAGACAGTCAACTCTAAAGAGGCTTCAGGTGTCTCTTTCCTGATAGCGCCATTGACAATGACTAAAGAAAAGAAAACAAATTACAGCAGAACCACTAGTGCAAAAGGGAATAAAGAAGAATACTCCTATTATGCTACAGGGACTGATGCCGTAATAGTAGATTGTGATTCTCCAAGCCTCATGAAACTGGTTCTCTGTTACGCATGCATGCATGCACAAAGATTTGATGTAAATCTTTGTCAACTCAGTAGATAATACAATAATCAACCAGAACTTGAATGATCAGGGTCCAGCAATCTAATTCTTGAACAGATACAGAAGGCTGTTCAAATTACATCTGCTGTTGTATATCAATGAATTCAGATGTCCTAATAACTTTTAGGGCACTTCTACATTTTGATGTCTTTATGTCACAATGAGTTTATCTGACATTCAAAGAAGAATATACAAATGGTTTTTTTCTTATTGGCAGCTGAGAATTGAGTATTTTTCTTTTCAAAACAAGTCTGAGACATTAAATAAATATCCTACATGCAGGGTGGGATAGTAAGCATTCTCAGTATGGGTTGGCAAGAAAGCAGTCCTGAATTCTGGGCCAAAGCTAGAAGTTACTTGCAAAATTTGATGATAAAGCTACATGTATAAATCTGTATTAGGGAATCCAGGGCTGCTTGAAAGAGACAGAAAGCCTTATACCCTCCAGCCAAGTTTTGTAGGTGAGTTGCTGAAGTCTGGTGCAGGACGTGTTAACTGCGTATCAGAGATCTGAAATAGTTTAGAAGAACAGTTTCTACTTGAACAAGCAGCATAGTGCAGCTGCAGCAGAGCAGTAGAACAAAATGCTCAGTGTTGGAGGACTAATGACCACAGTATATTGGAGGTTTTGAAAGAGTAATGTAAACATGAACTAAGTGATACAGAGGCAGAATGAGTGAAAGCAAAA